GTGGGAAGTGGAGGAGCCAGAACTTGAACCAGGCACTCTGGTATGGGATGCAGGTATCCCAGATGGCAACTTAACTGCTTTACCAATTGCCTGCGCCAAATTATATTTCTGTATATTAACATCACACAATTGGGAATGAAATAGGAAAACATAGATTTACAATAGCAGCCCCAAAATCAATTTGAAAAATGTTTAAGACATCCACACTGAAAACTGTGATAAATTGCTGAGGGAAATGACAAATAAAAGGAGAAATCATGATAGATTTGAAGACTTAAAATTGTTAAAATGTCAGTTCTTCTGATACTTATTTATCTCCAGTTAAAACCCGTACAAGGCAGGACAAGTGTTTTTGTGCAACTGTTAAGTGCTGCTTAGGACACACCTGTAGGAAACCCTGGAGGGCTGGGCACTGTGGTGTAGCAGGTTAAGCTGCCACCTGCAGTGCCGGCATCCCATATGGGCACCAATTCAAGTACCGGCTGCTCCATTTCCGATCCAGCTCTCTGCTATGGCCTGGGAAAGCTGTAGAAGATGGCCCAAGTCCTTGGCCCCTGCACCTGCGTGGGAGACCTGAAAGAAGCTCCTGGCTCCTGGCTTCAGATCGGCACAGCTCTGGCCTTTGCAGCCAGCTGGGGAGTGAACCAGGAGATGGAAGACCTCTCTCTCTCTCTCTCTTTCTCTCTTTCTCTCTTTCTCTCTTTCTCTCTCTCTCTCTCTCTCTCTCTCTCTCTCTGCCTCTCCTCCTCTCTGTGTAACTCTTTCAATAAATTAATAAAAAATTTATTGATTTATTTGAAAGAGTTACACAGAGAGAAGAGAGGCAGAGGGTGGGGTTCTTCCATCCTCTGGTTCACTCCCCAGATGGCCACAAGGGCTGGAGCTGCACCGATACAAAGCCAGGAGCCAGGAGCTTCTTCTGGGTCTCCCATGCAGGTGCAGGGGCCCAAGGACTTGGGCCATTTTCTGCTTTCCCAGGCCATAGCGAAGAGCTGGATCAGAAGTGAAGCAGCCAGGACTTGAACTGGTACTCATATCAGATGCCAGTGCTTCAGGCCAGGGTTTTAACCTGCTGCGCCTTAGCGCTGGCCCCCATAAATAAATCTTTAAAGAAAAATAAAAAGACAAATACTGGGGTGTCTGGGTTCCAGTGCTGGGCTCCATTTCTGATTCCAGCTGCCTGCATCTAGGGTGCAGCAGGTGATGACCTGGGTCCCTGACACCCACATAAGAGACCTGAATTGAGTTCCTGGCTTTGGCCTGGCCCAGCCTCAATGTGTTTTGGTTTTTTTGACAGAGTTAGAGAGAGAGGTCTTCCTTCTGTTAGTTTACTCCCCAAAAGGCCGCTACAGCCGGCGAGCTGCACCGACCTGAAGCCAGGAGCCAGGTGCTTCCTCCTGGTCTCCCATACGGGTGCAGGGCCCAAGCACTTGGGCCATCCTCCACTGCCTTCCCCGGGCCATAGAGGAGAGCTGGACTGGAAGAGGGTCCAGAACCGGTACTAGAACCCGGAGTGCCGGTGCTGCAGGCGGAGGATTAGCCTAGTGAGCCGTGGTGCCGGCCCTTGCCTCAATTGTTACAGGCATTTGAGGAATGAGCCAGCTGATAGAAGAGGTGCTGTTTGCCTTGCTTATAAAATGAAGTTTTTAAAAATATAACCAAAGAAAGAAAAGATTGATTAAATTTAGTTGAGGTTATTTTGGATTTAAATTCATTAATAGCTATCTGTTCATCGCAAGACAGCATTAAGAGACAGAAAAAAGATAACCCAGTGTTCAAAAATGGACGGACAGTTCAAAATGAGCTTGTCCGTAAAAGGATAGCCAGGTGGTTTGTTAAGCACATTAAAAGGCAGGCATTTAACGTAGTGAATAGGATGCCCACATCCACATCCAATACCTGGTTTCAAGTCATGATTTCAATTCAATTCCTGGCTTCCAGCTTCTGCCTGGCCCAGTCTTGGGCATTGGTGGGCATGTGAGGAGTGAACCAGGGGATGGGAGCTCTCTTTCTGTCTCTTTTCCTCAAATTTACAAGCAAATCAGAACGCAAAAGTTCATGGAAAATAGAGATAAAAGATAAGTTTATTTTATGCAAAAAAAATTGAAATCCATATATGATTTTTTCATAGTACTTATTTTCCACATTTTCTTAGGGTTTGTGTGTGTTTGTACACACTTTTTCTATTTATCTGAAATTCAAAAGCAAGGAAAGTTAATTGATAGTGAAAGAAATAAGAATAGTAACCTGGGCAGAATGTCATTGGTTAGTTTACACAGGAGTCTTCAGGGTTGCTGGAAGCCTTCTGTATCTTCATCTGAATGGTAGTATTTTATATAAGAAGGGTTCTTGGAAATCTGGGAGTTCATAAGGGAGCAAGTCTTTGAATTAGAGGACAGCTGAATTGTCCTGGGTATCTATTTATCCTCCCAAACTGCATCTTAGAATCAGGGAAATGTAGGATTTTTTTGTGGTATGATTTTGGTTTTTGGTAAATTTTTAGTTTCTCTGGATTGGCATTACTGATAAGTTGAAACATTTTTATAGCAATTTAGAATGTTACAGTTACTTGGGAATTATGTAGACATGTAATTTACAGAGAAAATAAATATGTGGTAAAAGATTGACTGCTGTAATTTAGACACTTTGAATTGGCACATTAAAGTGACCCATACCTGTCTTTGGCTTCATAATGATTGGATTAAGTTATATCCAAATTTTGGTGACCCACCCAGGGTTTTATTACTATCAAATCACAACATAAATTGTGAAAAATTTTTATAAGGGCCAAATGGATTAGCTGTTTCTCTGCCTTTCAAATAAAATTTTTAAAATTAATTTATTTGAAAGGCAGTGATTGCCTGCACATGAGGTTGTAGGGGATGGAGGAAATATCCTCCATCTGCTGGTTCTTTCCCCAAATAGCCACAATGGCTGGGTGTGTTCCAGGCTGAGGCCAGGAGCCCAGAGCTCTGTCTGGGTCTCATGTGGCGGCAAGGGTCCCGGTACTTGGGCCATCTTCCACTGCCTTCCCAAACACATTAACAGGGAGCTGGATGAGAAATAGAGCAGTCAGGACTTGAACCAGTGCTCCAATATGGGATACCAGTGTTGCAGGTGGCAGCATAGTTCACTAAGCCACAGTGCTGACACCTTTCAAATAAATTTGTCTTTAGAAAAAACCCTGGTGTCAAGATTAAGAATTGTTCCTCAATCTAAGTGAGTAGTCTAGATACTTAATTGAAGGTATTATAAAAGCCCAGATATGCATCAGAAGTGGATAATTAATGTTTGGGAGCTGTGTTAAGTTCCCATAATAGTGGTTTTGCTGATCATTGTCTTGAATTTCAGGGATAGTTATTAACTGGCATATTTGGTAGCACATACTTGAATGTTGTTTGTTTCTTCTTTCATCTCCTGTGACTTTTTTTCTCCTATAAGCCTTTCTTGTTGACCTTACAAAATAATCTGTGATTTTTAGCAAGAAATGTGTGGACTTAGTTGTAAGTGGGAAGTAGTAGGGGCTGTAGAAAGATAATCTGTGTTCTTTATGTATCTTTTCAATTAAGCCTAATTGAGAGCTTACCAGTGTATTTAAAGATTAAAGGGAAAACAGTGAAGATAATGATGAATACAAGTTCAGTTCATTGGGCAAATCAGGGACTCCCCTCTCCCCACTCACTCTCCTACTCTACCTCATCCCAGAAGTTACTGAAAATCGTATTTATGAATTTTTATTGCTCATTCATGTGAAAAATGCTTTATTCCATTTAAATAGCATTTAGAGGTTTTCCTAAAATGCCTTATTATGAATATAATAACATTTAATAAATATCTTCCACTTTTTAAGTATTTGTGGCGATCAGAAAATGGGGGTGGTAATTGCCAAAGTTCTTGAGACTACTGATTTATTTTTTTTATTTATTTTTTATTTTTGGACAGGCAGAGTTAGACAGTGAGGAAGAGAGACAGAGAGAAAGGTCTTCCTTCAGTTGGTTGGCCGCCAAGGCCGGCGTGCTGCGCCAATCTGAAGCCAGGAGCCAGGTGCTTCCTCCTGGTCTCCCATGCAAGTGCAGGGCCCAAGCACTTGGGCAGTCCTCCACTGCCTTCCCATGCCACAGCAAAGAGCTGGACTGGAAGAGGAGCAACCGGGACAGAATCCGGCACCCCAAACTGGGACTCAAACCTGAAGTGCTGGCGCCACAGGCGGAGGATTAGCCTAGTGATCCACGGCGCTGTCCAAGACTGCTGATTTTATTAAAGGAATTTTTTTTAAAAGATTTATGTATTTATTTGAAAGGCACAGTTACAGAGAGGCAGAGGCAGAGAGAAAGAGAGAGATCTTCCATCCGCTGGTTACTCCCCAAATGATCGCAGTGGCCAGAACTGGGCCAATCCAGAGCCAGGAGCTTCTTCCAGGTCTCCCACGCGGGTGCAGGGGCCCAAGGACTTGGGCCATCTTGTACTGCTTTCCCGGGCCATAGCAGAGAGCTGGAGCAGCCAGGCCTCATGGGATTGTTGTCACTGGTGCCCATATGGGATGCTGGCACTGCAGGTGGCAGCTTTACCTGCTAAGCCACAGCGCCAGCCCCTAAAGGAAGTTTTTAATTTCCCTTTCTTCATAGCTGTTGGTGTCTTAGAAAAATTATACTAGCCTCCTACTTTGAAGATTTGTTTTGGTGGAATAGTAGGCCAGACCCTCAAGGGTGTTGTCCTTGGAACCTTTTAGGTCTCCAGGACTATTGGACCAGTTGGCCATTGGAGAGCAAAGATGAGGACTGTATTTCATCGACAGCAGACTTGAGGAGCATCATCAAGGACCAGCAACAGTGGAGATAGAAGCCAGAAGTCATTGGAATAACTTGAATGTTTGTTTTAGGACCCAACAGAATAATTTGATGCCTGTGTGATTTTTCTACTTTAAAATGAGCTCTTCTTAAAGAATTATTGTTTTATGGGTAAGTTTTAGAAAACTGACCAGCATATTTGTTGTTTTTCAGTACGAGGATGTCGTCCAGGAAAGATTGTGCAAATGACTGAAGCGGAAGTGCGGGGCCTTTGTATCAAGTCTCGGGAGATCTTCCTCAGCCAGCCTATTCTCTTGGAATTGGAAGCACCACTGAAAATTTGTGGTATGTAAATGGGTAAAGTTGGAAACAACTCTTCTGAGTCACAGTTTATATAAAAGAGATCGATATATTAAATAAAATTATAAACATTAAACTTCCGTAAGAATGACATTTTGTTATATAAAACAAGTGTTTGCCACATATATAACTGATGAAAAGTTTGCTGTTCATAATATATGAGTTCTTAGAAATAAGTAAGAAAAAGATAATACATTACAAAATGAAGAAGTGTTAGCTCTTAGAAGAAATTCAAGTGACCAGTAAATGTAAGGTCCTCATCCTCTCCAGGAATGACTGAAATGCAATTTAAAGTAAGTCCCCAACTTTATCAGATTACAGAAAAAAAAAAAATCAAGGATTAGTGTTTACTATTGTCAAGGGTATGGAGAAATAGCCATTCCAGTACACTGGCTAGAAAGCATAGATACAAATTTTGGTGGTCAATATAGTAATATCTGTGGTCTTCTAACTTTGTTGTGATGGTTAAATTTATTTTGAATACTAGATTATTTCACAATTTCTTTTTTTTTTTTTTTAAGTCGTATGGTGTTGACCAGAAGCAAAAGTTTGTAAGTTGAGTTGATGATCAGAAAAATTGTTGCATGGAAAGTAACATTTTTCTGTAGTTCACATGACAGTGCAAAATGATATAAATAATGTATCATGCTGGCTTTTGATTTGATAATTAGGTGTTCTTCAGTTATTAGTGTTTATAGATAGCTTTTGGACTTATCATCAACTTTTACTCAAAGTCTTCTGCATGATTCTCAGTGATCTGTATTCATACCATGTAATCTGCAGATGCTCAGTGTGTCTTTAAATATTTCTCATTTCCTTTTATTCATGTGGCTTATTAAATCATTTGCTTGGTACTCCTTTGTACAGCACCATGCAAATAATAGAGATATTAGCTAAGGCAAATATTTATTGAATATCACCTTCAAGAGGTAGTAGTTTAGACTTTTTGGAAATGATCGATCCTTTCTAAGAATTTAAATGATGCCAGTGTAAATTGATAATTTTGTATGGTCTGTGAATGATGTTATAAATACCCAAGTGACCCTTGGCAGAAAAAAGGCTCCCTACCCCTGCTGTATAGTATCAGTTTATTACCCTCATGGTCTTGTGGCTGACCAAGAGCCAGGGCTGAGTGCCACTGCCCAACATGCCAAGAGAGTATCAGACCATGTATCACTATCAGGAAAAGATGAAAATTAAAGTATGATTTCTACTGAATATATATCATTTTTATGCCACCATGAAATGGAAGAATCATAGATTTAACTGTCATAAGTTAGAGAGTGTCTGTGGTACTTTTCTTTAGAATTTTTAATATGAAAATAACTTCAAGGTAATAGTTACTTATAGTACATATTCCTAAAGTCTTGCCATTTTTCCTGTGTTTGTTAACAAAGTGCCCTAAGCCACTAAAATGCTAAGAGTACCTGTGTAATCTATTATATTATTATTTTTATTATTCTTGCTAAGTATAATTACATTATATATGATTGTTTTATTATTTATATTATTATTATATTGACAAATTATCCCTAAAACTGGCTTACAGCAACATTAGTTTACCATTCTCAAGTTTCTGAGGGTCAGGAATTCAGGCACAGCTTATCTGTGTCCTCTAGTTCTGGGGCTGTCACACTTTGTCTAGTCAAAGCGTAATCTGGGGCTGTAGTCATCTATCTGAAGGCTCAGCCGTGGAAGGATTCAGTTTCTCATGCCCTGAATGGACTGAGAACCTCTTCAAAATGAGTACTGGCCAGAGGCCACCTTCTTTGCAGGTGAAGCAGTTGGCTTTCGCAGTGAGCACTGAAGAAGGTGAGAGAGTGCCAGCAAGACAGAAGTCACAGTCTTTTAACCTTATCTTGAAAGTGACAGCCCATCTGACTTTTGCTACATCGTATTAGTAACAAGTCACTAGGTGTAACCCTCACTCCAGGGGAGGGGATTGCATAAGGTCCTGAACACTCGCAACTGCTTACATTAACAGCAAGTTTTAGTAGAAGCTGTTTAGTCATCAATTTCTCTAAAACTGACTTTTTCTATTTTTTAGGAGATATTCATGGACAGTATACAGATTTACTGAGATTATTTGAGTATGGAGGTTTCCCACCAGAAGCCAACTATCTTTTCTTAGGAGATTATGTGGATAGAGGAAAACAGTCTTTGGAAACCATTTGTTTGCTATTGGCTTACAAAATCAAATATCCAGAGAACTTCTTTCTCTTAAGAGGAAACCATGAGTGTGCTAGCATCAATCGCATTTATGGATTCTATGATGAATGTAAGTGAAAATAAAAATTATTTAATTAATGAAAACATTTCATAATAGTTTTCTAGTCAAAGGGGTTTTTTAATTCAGTATTTTTTTTTTAAGATTTATTTATTAAAGGCAAAAGAGATCCAGAGAAAGAGAGAGAGGCAGAGACAGAAATCTTCCATCCACTGGTTCACTCCCCAGATGGCTACAACGTCCAGAGCTGGGCTGATGTGAAGCCAGGAGTTTGTTCCGGGTTCCCACATGGGTGGAGGAATCTGCAGCTGAAAAACGTTACTAATTAAATTGATTCCTTGAGCACTTCTTCGTCATGTTGTTTTAGACTGACAACAGCATCCTAGTCTGGAGAGTTCCTCTTTTAATTAGTTTTTCTACTAAAATATCAAGTGAAACAGAGGTCACTGTAAATAGTGGCTTCTGGTTTTCCAGCATCAGTTAGAGTTTTAATTCCCTGCATTCTTGTGGTGTATCAGAAGCCCTTAATAAGAATGTGTTGGGGGGCTGGCACTGTGATGTAGAGTAAAGCCGCCACTTGCAGTGCCAGCATCCCATATGGGCACCGGTTTGAGTCCCAGCTGCTCCTCTTCTGATCCAGCTCTCTGCTATGGCCTGGGAAAGCAGTAGAAGATGGCCAAATTGTTGGGTCGCTGCACCCATGTGGGAGACCCAGAAGAAGCTCCTGGCTCCTGGCTTTGCATCAGCGCAACTGCAGCATTCATGGCCAATTGGGGAATGAACCAGTGAATAGAAGACCTTTCTCTCTCTCTCTCTCTCCCCCTCTCTCCCCTGCCCCTCCCTCCCCTGTGTAACTCTTTCAAATAAATAAATAAATCTTTAAAAAATAATAGTAATGATAATGTGTCATAAGAACTATTGAAAAGTTCGGTGGAACTGGTTTATTATTAGAATTTTAATCTATATGTACAGATCTAGAAATACCAGGATACTGAATATTTTGGGTTATCCATATTTTATTATATTTTATCAATAGGAAAACACAGATTTACTATTGTGTAATAGTGTTTCTAAGTGTTATTACTGAATTTCTAAATATACATTTGGTCTTGCGGTTTTGTTAGATTAAGTATGGGAACAAGTGTGTTAATTCACTAATTAACATTTAGAATCAGTTATTTTGAAATTGAATTTATTTTTTACTCCTGAATTTGCCATTATAATCTTCTTTTACTTTTTTCCATCCTTAAATTCTTCTCAAATTTGTATCTCCTTAATTCATATAATGATTTGACAAAACTTTGAGAATGTGTTATGTATGTTAGTCACTCTTCTCACTAAACGCCGGGAATGCATCAGAATGTAAAACTTACCTGTTCTTGTAACACTTATACCCCAGTGGGAATGATTCTGTATCTGATTTTATATTGCATTTTTATTTCTGAAATGTAATAAATACAGCTTAAATTGCTTAAAACACACCAGTAGCTCAGAGTGAGTGAGTTGGAATACAGTGTCCCTCAGTAACTCTGGGAGACTAGTTCTAGAACCTCCAGGAAACATGCCAAAATCTGTGGATACTTAAGATCTTTGTTTATGGGATTTGCATATAACTTATGCACGTTCTCCTGTATACTTTAAGTCATCTCTAAATTACTTATATAGTGTCAGTGCTCTGTTATCAGTTACTACACTGTATTATTTAGGGAATAATGACAGTAACTGACATAGATTGTTTTTGTTTTTGTTTCCATTTATGGTTGATTGAATCTGTGGTTATGGAGCCCTCAGGTATGGATTCAGGGGGCCAACGGTACATCAAACTAAAGACTAAACTAAGGAGGGGCGGCTGGCATTGTGGCGGAGCAGGTAGAGCCACCACTTGTGATTGTGGCATCCCATAGGAGCACCAATTCAAGTCCCTGCTGCTCCACTTCTGATCTATCTCCCTACTAATGGCCTGGGAAAAGCAGTAGAAGATGGGCCACCATACCCATGTAGGAGACCAGGAAGAAGGTCCTGACTTCAGCTTGGCCCAGTCCCAGCTGTTGCAGCCATGCAAGGAATGAACCAGCAGATGCAATATCTCTATCTCTTTTTTCTCTGTAACTCTGATTTTCAAATAAACAACTTTTTTTTTTTTTCAAGATTTATTTATTTATTTGAAAGGCCGAGTTAGAGAGGAAGAGTCAGAGAGATCTTCGATCCACTGGTTCACTCCCCACTCCCCAAATGGCTGCAACAACCAGAGCTGGGCCAGTCTGAAGTCAGGAACCAGGAGCTTCATCTGGCTCTCCCATGTGGGTACAGGGGCCCAAGAACCTGTGCCACCCTCAGTCCTCCATCCTCCATCCTCTGTCCTCCACTACTTTCCCATGTATGTTAGCTGGGAGCTGGAAGTGGAGCATCCAGGACTCCCAGCTGGCACCCATATGGGAATAACAACACTGCACGTAGTGGCTTTACCTACTACGCTACAGCACCAGCCCTATAAATAAATCTTAAAAAAAAAAAAAAAAAGAATAAAATAAGGTTCTGAATACTCTTGTATAGAAATGACATTAAGTGACATTAAGTATGGGAGAGCAGCTTGTAAACAGAGCTTTGAGTTAAGAGATGGGCTATAGCGTAGAAGCATAGAGAATTAGTATTTATATGTTTTTCCTGGCTTAGTTGCAACTTGGCAAATTTAAGAGTAACTCTGTAAAGGTATAGCTGTTTATGCTAGGCTACAGAAAAATTACAGACTTCGTATCCTTATTTATACTTGTTCTAGTGCCAAATTGTAATTTGCTCAAAAGCGACGACCAGTTGAGCACTTCGAAATTTTCTTTCTTGGCAGTAAGCTGTAGTTGCTCAAGGCATTAGAGTTAAAAAACAAAGTCTTCAGAGGGAAGCAACCCTTTTGCTTCTGTTGGCTTATTTGGCTAGGTGTTAAACTCAAAGTGAGCTGCTAGCCTGTTAAACTATTTCAAAGTTGCTATATTACACTGATCTTTAAAAGACAAAATTGTTTAATATATTTGTCTCATAAAACACCTAGCACAGTCTTTGAAATTACTTGCAACTTTACTGAAGGTGCTGAATATTTTTTATCTATTACTTTTTCTAAAGTATACAAATAACACATAAAAAATGAAGTGCTCAATAAGCATAAAGGAAATTAAAATCATAATGTGGATTTAAATAACCAATATAAACAGTTTTATATTTTTTAAAATTCTGTCTGCTTGTTCTTTTTATAGGCAAGCGAAGGTTTAATATTAAATTGTGGAAGACCTTCACTGACTGCTTTAACTGTCTGCCTATAGCTGCCATTGTGGATGAGAAGATCTTCTGTTGTCATGGAGGTAGACCAGTAAATTTTTAATGAATTTGCCTTACTGTTATTCAGAAAAGGTCTACAATAAGATGCTGTGGGGAAACAAAGCAGTGCTTTTATGAGAACTCAAGTGATTAAAACTTTTGCTATTATTAAAAATACTAAAATGAGAGGCTCATTTCCTGCCTATAACAAAATCTTTCATCAGCATCCAGATGTGATTGATACATATCTTAACATTTGTCAAGAGTTGGCTTCATGCAATGTGTCTGCTTTATTCCTAAAAATAACTTTTCATACAATGGTAAGTTCTGTATGATTTGTGGGAAAAAAAATTGAAGACATAAAAGTTAGCAGTTGGCTAGATGCCTTGCAAATATGTATAGTATGTGATCTGATAATCTTAATGAATTTAAAAATCTGCTAATAAAATAGATGTATGAAACAGAAACAGATATGACTAATAAGAGACTTGATTATGTTGGTACTTCTAGAGAAAATAATTATTGAAAAGTCCAAAAAAGGAGAATTGTTGGACAAATATTGATGGAAGCATGGGTTTTAGGGGAAAAATAGACTTTGGAGCATTAAAAGGGACTTGAGACAATCTTCGTATGTTGTGCAGTTTTAGGAACATGCAAGAATTGACTGTCATATATAGAGAATTGAATACTGAGCAAAGGAAATTGATGAATGCTCTAATAATTGTTTTGGGTTATTAGAAATTAATGGAAATAACGTAAGAAAATTAGATTTTTATCAACATACAGGAAGAATTCAAATGGAGAAACATGGAAAGGTTAGATGCATTTACCTACATCTGAGCTAATAAGTGGCTCATTTTCTTTCTCTTTTTTTTTTTTTTTAAGATTTATTTGAAAGAGTTACACAGAGAGAGGAGAGGCAGAGAGAGAGAGGTATTCCATTCACTGGTTCGCTCCCCAACTGGCTGCAACAGCTGAAGCTGCACCGATCTGAAGTCAGGAGCCAGGAGCCTCCTCCAGGTCTCCTACCTAGGTGCAAGGGCCCAAGGACTTGGGCCATTTTCTACTACTTTCCCAGGCCACAGCAGAGAGCTGGATCGGAAGTGGAGCAGCCAGGACTAGAACCAGCCTCCCATATAGGATGCCAGCACTTCAGGCCGGGGCATTAACCCGCTGCACCACAGCGCTGGCCCCTAGTGGCTCATTTTCTGACAACATAATTCACCATATAAATGGAAACTTGTTTTTCAGTATATATTAAACACCAGAGGAATTGTAGTTCTTATACAGTATAGCTAAGAATAGAAATACAGCTTTATGAAATAATGTTTAGTTCTGCTCCTTGTGATGATAGTTGGATTACCTAACAAAAGGAAATAAAAGCTTACATTTTAATGTACCACTTTAAAGATTGCAAAGTGTTTTTATGTGCTTTCTTCTTTATCTTTGTGGCTAAGAATTTGTACTTTGATGAAGGTAGTGAGCCAGTTTAAGTGGGATGTGAGAATGGCTTAGAGGACCAACCGAAGCATTTTAACTTGGAAGTAAAAATTTTTAGATCAGGTGGTGAGAAATGACAGTAGCGGTGGGAAAGTTTGTAACTGGGCATGTTCCTGTGAAGGGCAGGGAATGATTGGACAGAAAGATTGCTGTAGCTCCCATCTGTGGAAAATCTTCTGAAATATAAGGGGATATCATTTCCCTGGTAGGGAAAAATGGAGAGGGTGATGTAATCATGATACAGTATAGGGGAATTCATAAAAGTTCAATAAATGATCTCTTAAGATGACATTAAAAAGACCACTTCTGAGGATTTTAATTTCATGTAGTGAATCTGTGTTGATCAAATACTTTTTTATTGACTTGAAATTTTATAGATATGAAGACTAAGTCTCATCTGTTTATTTGTAGGACTGTCACCAGACCTACAATCTATGGAGCAGATTCGGAGAATTATGAGACCCACTGATGTCCCTGATACAGGTAAGTATAGAGAGAAATTTAATTATTTTTATGTGTTAATGTATTTCAGCTTAATTATCTTTAGTGGAAATAAGATTGATTCATCTAATATATATAATAGAGCCCCTTGTATAGTAAACCAACTAACTCTATTACTTTATTTGCAGTATTGTATTTCACTTTGTGCTAATTATTCCACAAAACATGGAACTGTGAGGTTTTATGTGCAACCATAATAGGGTTCTGTTAAACTTATTTTATCACAAAAAAAGATCTTGCTGTTGATTCCCTTTACCTTTCTATTTTTTAATTCTTTCGTTCATATTGGCATGATTATATCTTTAAAAAAAACTGTTGGATTTGTCCAAACGTTTTTAAAATTATTCTGTTTCTTAGCAAAGAATATAATTACCTTCTTTAAAAATTATCTACTATTGGCCGGCGCCACGGCTGACTAGGTTAATCCTCCACCTTGCGGCGCCAGCACACCGGGTTCTAGTCCCGGTCGGGGCGCTGGATTCTGTCCCGGTTGCCCCTCTTCCAGGCCAGCTCTCTGCTGTGGCCCGGGAGTGCAGTGGAGGATGGCCCAAGTCCTTGGGCCCTGCACCCCATGGGAGACCAGGAGGAGCACCTGGCTCCTGCCATCGGATCAGTGCGGTGCGCCGGCCACAGCGCGCTGGCCGCAGCGGCCATTGGAGGGTGAACCAACGGCAAAGGAAGACCTTTCTCTCTGTCTCTCTCTCACTGTCCACTCTGCCTGTCAAAAAAAATAAATAAAATAAAAAAAAATTATCTACTAGTTCTCCATTATTTTCAGTATCTGTCTTTAGAGTTTAAGAGCTCTTAAGTTTCTAGAGATGTGGCTGATTTTATGAAATTCTGCAAAATACATGAAAAAATGAAAATTGGCTATTTAGACAGTAAAACTGTCTCTTAAGTTGGCTAAGCAAGTCAAAATAATAGGCAGGGCCGGCACCACGGCTCACTAGGATAATCCTCGTCCTGCGGCACCGGCACTCTGAGTTCTAGTCCCAGTTGGGGCGCTGGTTCTGTCCCGGTTGCTCCTCTTCCAGTCCAGCTCTCTTCTGTGGCCTGGGAAGACAGTGGAGGATGGCCCAAGTGCTTGGGCCCTGCACCCGCATGGGAGACCAGGAAGAAGCACCTGGCTCCTGGCTTCAGATCGGCAAAGAGCGCCGGCTGTAGCGGCCATTTGGGGGGTGAACCAACGGAAGGAAGACCTTTCTCTCTGTCTTTCTCTCTCTCACTGTTTAACTCTGCCTGTCAAAAGAGGGGGGAGGGCAATACATTCTGGTTGAAGATAAAATGTGAATTGATAACAGTGAATCCTGATGTAATTTTGTATGTAAATAGTAGACACAGCTGTCACTTACCCTGACCTTTCTATTGGCTTTAAAATGTTTTTCCCTGGGGCAGGCATTTGGTGTAGCAGTTAAGATGCTGGTTGGGACACCTGTATCTTATATCAGAGTGCTTAGTTTGAGTTGCAGCTTCTTTGCCTTTTTTTTTTTTTTTTAAGCATCTTTTTTTTTTTTTCTTTTTAAGACTTACTTATTTGAGAGGCAGAGGCAGAGAGAGAGAGAGAGAGAAGTGTTACATCCACTGGTTCTTTCCCTGATGGCCAGAGTTGGGCCAATCTGAAGCCAGGAGCTTCTTCTGGGTCTCCCATGTGGATGCAGGGGTCCAAGGACTTGGGCCATCTTCCGCTGCTTTCCCAGGCCATAGCAGAGAGCTGGATCGGAAGTGGAGCAGCCAGGACACGAACCGACACCCATATGGGTTACCGGCACTGCAGGCGGCGGCTTTACCCACTAGGCCACAGCACTGGCCCTTCCTTACTTCTGATCCAGCTTCCCACTAATGTGCACCCAGGAAGCAGCAGATGATGGTTCAACTGCTTGAGTCTCTGCTATTTGTGTGGGAAACCTGCATTAAGTTCTGGCTCCTGGCTTTAGCCAGGCCCAGCCCCAGCACACACAGGCATCTGGGGAGTGAATGGGAAATCTCTACTTTTAAATAAAGTGAAAATAAGTTTTTGTAAATGTTATTACTCCTATTTCAGTACTAGCATATATTCTGAAGTATCTAATCATGACATTTATAACATAAATGTCATTATGTATAGGCAGGTTGCTTTGCTTCCTTTTGCCTAAAAATCAGTACTTTCTTTGTGGTGTTTTCTGATACCAAATATGTGTGCTTTTTCCACACAACAACCAATTCTGACACTAGGTAAGTGTCTGATTCAAATCTGACACTGGCTCCTGAAATTACCACAGAGTGCTCAGACTAAAGGCTCCATTCTACATTACTGATACAAGTAAGATCTGCCCAGCCACCTACAAGTGGGGAGGTTTCACAACCCCCTCCTTGGTGATTTACCCACATTTATTCATTTGTTACAAAGGATGTAACTTGGGGCCAGTGCTATGGCCTAGCATGTAAAGCCCCATACCTACAGTGCCAGCATCCCATATGAGTGCCAGTTGAAGTCCCGGTTGCTCCACATCTGATCCATCTCCCTGCTAATGCGCCTGGGAAGGCAGTGGAGAGTGCCCTAAGTGCTTGGGCCCTTCTACCCACATGGGAGACATGGGTGAAGCTCCTGGATACTGACTTTGGCCTTGCCCAGCCTCAGCCATTTGCGTCCATTTGGGAAGTAAACCAACGGATAGGAGATCGATCTTTCTCCTTTGCCCCTCCTTCTCTCTTTGAGACTCTTTCAAATAAAATAAAATATTAAAAAAAAAAAAGGGGGGGGGGGCTGGTGCTGTGGCATAGCAGGTTAAAGCCCCAGCCTGCAGTGCCGGCAACCCATATGGGCTCCGGTTTGAGTCCTGGCTGCTCCTCTTCTGCTCCTACTCTCTGCTATGGCCTGGGAAGCAGTAGAAGATGGCCCAAGTCCTTGGGCCCCTGCACCCGCATAGGAGACCTGGAGGAAGCCCTTGGCTCTTGGCTTTGAATCAGCCCCTCTCTGGCCATTGCAGTCATTAGGGGAGTGAACCAGCAGAATGGAAGACCTCTCTGCCTCTCCTCCTCTCTCTATGTAACTTTTTCAAATAAATAAAATAATGCTTTAAAAAATCATAATAAAAAAAGTGATTAAAAACATAACTCAGGAATAGCCAAGTGAAAGCTATACGTAGAGGAAGGTACTGGGGATGGAAATGTTAGCCCAGAACTCCATGCCCTCTCTGAACTGGAACCTCTCCAAATCACAGTCAGGAGTAGTAGTTTTTTGTTTGTTTGTTTGAAGATTTATTTATCTGAGAGGTAGAATTACAGAGAGAAAGGTCTTCCACCCACTGGTTCATTTCCCCAAATGGCCACAATGGCCAGAGTTGTGCCAATCCAAAGCCAGGAGCCAGGAACTTCTTCTGAGTCTCCCATGTAGGTGCTCAAGGACTTAGGCTGTTTTCTACTGCTTTCCCAGGCCAAAGCAGGGAGCTGGATCAGAAGTGGAGCAGCCAAGACTCGAACCAGTGCGCTTACAGGATGCCGGTGGCACAAGCAGCAGCTTTAACTGCTGTGCCACAGTGCTGGCCCCAAGAGTTGTTGTTTTTAATAGAAATTCATATTTAGCACCATGATCACCAATAAATGAGGGGAAAGACAGGTATGAAAATTCTAACTGTCTGCTCAGATGTTTGGTCTTTGTGGTGAATAGCTCTATCTTGAAGCCTTGAATTGCTTCTTTACTACAGGCTCAGTTGGTGGTAGAAAGGAGCCCATTATGAATAACAAAAGACATTACTATCTTTCAGGAAATTGCAAGAATTTTGGGAGCCAGGACAGAACAGTTACAAAGACCAAATATATTTTTTATTATATTACACATGTTCATACTGTTAAAAACATTAACATAAGCAAAACTACTCTTTCTCTTTTTCCTGCCAAAAAATTTATCTTAAAAAAGAGACTCGGGCCGGTGCCGTGGTTCACTTGGTTAATCCTCCGCCTACAGCATTGCATCCGTATGGGTGCCAGGTTCTAGTCCCTGTTGCTCCTCTTCCAATCCAGTTCTCTGCTATAGCCCGGGAGGGCAGTGGAGGATGGCCCAAATGCTTGGGCCCCTATACCCGAATGGGAGACCGGGAAGAAGCACCTAACTCCTGGCTTCAGATCGGTGCAGCGCTGGCTGTTGCAGCCATTTGGGGAGTGAACCAACAGAAGGAAGACCTTTCTCTCTGTCTCTCCCTCTCACTGTCTGTAACTCTACCTGTCAAATAAAAAAAAAAAAGAGCTCACCTTTTTGGATAGATTGTCCCAGTGTTATTTGTGTAATCAGATACACCCTTATACATACTATACTCATCAGTTCCCAGCAAATTTACATGTGTTAACAATGGAGATTCTCAGGCATGACATAGGATCCAGAAATCCTGTTACATATTGTGAACAAAATACATATGGGGGGGACTTTAGTTACTGATAAGAAGATTGCTTATTGTTAAAAGGAAATTGATTATTCATTAAATAAGTATTGGAGGGGCCAGCACTGTGGCATAGTGGGTAAAGCCACCACCTGCAGGGTTGGCATCACATGGGTACTAGTTTGAGTTCTGGCTGCTTCATTTCCGATCCAGCTCTTTGCTATGGCCTGGGAAAGCAGTGGAAGATGGCCCAGATCTTTGGGCCCCTGCACCTGGAAGAAGCTCCTGGTTCCTGACCTGGGAGTGAACCAGCAAATGGGAGACACTTCTCTCTCTTTCTCTCTTTCTCTCTTTCTCTCTTTCTCTTTCTCTCTTTCTCTTTCTCTGCCTCTGCCTCTGCCTCTGCCTCTGCCTCTCTGCAACTCTGCAACTCTGCCATTCAAATAATTAAGTAAGTCTTTTTTTTTTAAAGTATTGGAGTGGATTATGGGTGAATTCGTTTCCCATTACCTATAAAGTTTCGTTGGATAAACATTGAATACTATTCATGACCCAGTGCGGAATTTATTTTAAGAGTTACTGAAAGATGTAGAAACAGAGAGGTTTTCTATCCACTGGTTTACTCCCCAAATGGACACAGTTGCCAGAGCTGAGCTGATTCTAAGCCAGGAGCTTCTGCTAGGTCTCCCATGTGGGTGCAGGGCCCCAAGGACTTGGGCCATCTTCTACTGCTTTCCAGGTGCATTAGCAAGGAGCTGGATTGGAAGCTGAGCAGCCAGGACACTAACTGGTGCCCATATAGGATGTCAGCACAATGGGCTGGGGCTTTAACCCACAGTGCCACAGCACTGCCTTCCCCCTCTTCTATTTTTAAGATTCTTACTTGAGAGAGAGAGAGAATGAATGCTTCCATCCCCGGGTTCACTCCCTAAATGGCTCCAAAAGCCAGGCTTGGACCAGACCAAAGCCAGGAGCCTGGAACTACAGCCATGTTTCCCACATGAGTGGCAGAGGCCCAAGTATTTGTGCCATCTTTCTTCTGCTGCTTTCCCAGGTTCATTAACAGGGACTGGATCAACAATGGACCAGCCAGGACTCAAACTGGCACTCAGGGGATGCTGGCATCACCCACTACATCACAGTGCCATCCCTGGGATTGCTTTCTTTCAAGTGTCATTGAATTATTTTGCTCACTGTACTGAAAGTCTGGTAATGTCACTTTGAATGCTCCTCATGACTGTATATTAACCATTGGAAATAGCTGTGTAGATCCTCTGGTGTCAGCCTGCTCTTAACACTGTATTGTAGTAATAAGTTGCCCCAGAACTTCTCAGGTAACACAACTGATTTTTGGCAAATATAAAAGGTAAGAAAGCGGAGATTTTTGCCATAACTTCTTTATTTGAAAGAGATGTCCCATCCACTGATTGACTCCTCAGGTGCCTGCAACAGCCAGGGCTGGGCCAAGTCAAAGCCCGAGCTAGGAACTCCAGAACTCCATTCTAGTCTCCCATATGGGTGACAGGGACCCAGAACTTGGGCCATCATTTGCTGCCTTCCCAGGTGCATTAGCAGGGAGCAGGATTGGAATTGTCACTTCAGTATGGGATGCTGGCATTGTAAGTAGCAGCTTAACCTACTGCACCCATCCCACCCTGGCTTTTAATTTTAATTATAAAATATATTTGACCCAATATAATAGAAACTAGTACCTAAAACTTATTTATTTCCAAAGGTACAGTAGAGGGAGAGAATGAGAGGGGCAGAGAGAAAAAAAGAGAGAGCTTCTATTCACTGGTTCACTCCCTAGATGGCTGTACCAGGCAGGACTGGGCCAGGCCGAAGCCAGGAATCAAGAGCTTCATGCCAGGTCTCATGCATGGGTGACAGGGTCCCAAATACTTTGGCCGTCTTCCACTGCTTTTCCTGGGCCATTATCAGGAACCTGGATTGAAAGTGGAGCAGCCAAGACATGAACCAGCCCCCACATGGGATGCTGGTGTCACAAGGCATTTTCATCCACTATACCACAGTGCCAACCTCAGTACTTAAAATAAGGTATAAAATATATATTCACTGTTTAAAGTTTCTGTGTACAGTTCAGTTTTGAGAGTGACATGTAAGGTTTCTGTTTTCAGCATGTCGTAATGGGAAATTTCTGAAATGTTAATAGTTTTGATCTTGTTCTGTATAACACATAGAAATTTAATTTATAAATTAATGTAATCTTTGAAACAGTAGCCAAATTAATTCAATGCTTGTTCTTTAAACATTGAATCTTGACTCTGAAATTCTTATCTGACTCCATTAAGGTTGCGGAATTCCAGATTGTTGTTGCTGTTATTATTTTATATTGTATGCATCCACACTCAAAAATCTTGAAGCCAGCTACTTTGTGGTTTTACAGGTTGTCACTGAAATTATAGAGTCTTAGTATCTTGGTGCCTTTTTTTTGTTTTTAAAGATTTATTTGAAAGGCAGAGTGTTGCTGAGAGACAGGGAGAGAGAGAACATTTTCCTGTGTGCTGGTTCACTCTCCCCAGATGATTTCCAAGGCTGGGATGTCTAGGCTGAAGCTAGGAGTTAAAAACTCCATCCCGGTGGGTCTCTCACGTGAGTGACAGAGGCTTAAATACTTGATCTGTCCTCTGCTGCTTTCCCAAGACCATCAGTAGGGAGCAGATGGGAAATAGAGCAGCCAGAGCTCAAACCAGCCCTCTGTTATAGGACGCCAGCATTGTAGGCAGCAGCTTAGCTCACTGCCATGCTGGCCGCAGTATCTTGGCTTTCTGCTCACTGCTTTCATCTCAAGGATCAGACTGGAAAGTGGGAAGCATTAAAGAGTGCTGGAGATATGTGAAGAGCTTCAACCAGAAAGGGCTTATGAATTGAGACTACATATTCCAGTGGATTTTTTGTGTTGGCGAATTCCTTAAAACATAATAGCAGGAGTTTAGGAAATATCGATGATGGAAATTTAATACATTGCCATTAATTCTGTTGTATTTTAGATAATTCTCCTATGGAGATCTTTCAGGATAAGCTGTAATACGGAGTTTGATGCAGTGGTTAAGACATCACCCAGGATGCCCATGTTCCTTATTCAAGTGCCTGGGTTCGAGTCCTGACCCTGCTTCTGATTTCAGCTTCCTGCTAAGTTGCACTCTGGGAGGCAGCCGATGATGGTCTTGGGGCTTGGATCCTGCCACCCATGTGGTAGACCCAAATTGAGTTCCCAGCTCCTGGCTTTAGCCTGGACTAGCCCCAGCTGTTTTGGGCATTTGAAGAGTAAACCAACAGATGAAAGATAATCTGTTTGTCTTTCAAATAAATATAACTAAATTTTTTTAAGAATAAAAGATAATAAATTTTAAAAATCTTAAACCATCTCATTGTATTAAAAACACCTTCCCTGGGGCAGACATTTGGTCCAATGGTTAAAAACTTCATTAGCCATTGTAATTCTTAAAAAATTATTTAATATCACCATTTCATTGTCCACTCCTGATGTCACTACAGTTCAACTTTTACTTAAGTATCCTACCCTGAACCATTGAATCTACTTTCATTAAGGTCTGATAATTTACTATAATTGGCCTATATTTGTTCTTTGTCTTACTCCATATATTTGTGGCATTGAAACTTAACCATTTCCAACTTCTAGACAATTCTTTATCCTTTTAGGAAATCTTTGCCAATTGTTTTTGTTGTTGTTTATTTTGATCATTCCTCCTCACTATTTCTTTGCTCATTCCCCGGTCTTCTCACTTTATGGTTTCAAGGTGGTTTGAATTCTAAGATTTCCATTACTCTTTATCTATTGAAGATGCTAAGATAAGTATTTCTAGTTCTGACCTCTTTTTTTTATTTATTTATTTAAAGATTTTTATTTATTTTATTTGAGAGGTAGAGTTATAGACCGTGAGAGAGAGAGAGAGAGAGAAAGGTCTTCTGTCCATTGGTTCACTCCCCAAATGGCCACAATGGCCGGAGCTGCGCTGATCTGAAGCCAGGACCCAGGAGCTTCTTCCCAGTCTCCCACATGGGTGCAGGGGCCCAAGGACTTGGGCCGTCTTCTGCTGCTTTCCCAGGCCATAGCAGAGAGCTGGGTTGGAAGAGGAGCAGCCGGGACTAGAACCAGCACCCATGTGGGATGCCAGCACCGCAGGCGGAGGATTAACCTACTACGCCACTGTGCCAGTCCCAGTTCTGACCTCTTTTGACCAAAACATTACTAAAGTTCAGGATTAGTCTGATTTTGTTCCACCATACTTTCCTTTTAAATCCTTCAGATCTAAGGAGAAGATATTTTTCTTTCCTCAGATTGGTCCGTAGGTTAAATGCAATCCCAGTGATATTACAGTTGAGTTTTCATGGACTTAAGCAAGCTGGTTCTGAACTTTATGTGGAAGAACAAAGGAGTCAAAATAACCAAGACAGTCCTGAAGAGAGAAAAATGTGGGGATACTAGCCCCATGAGCTTTTTATAAAGACTTACTGAAAACCTCTGGTGTGTTATGGGCTCGGGGATAAATAGTCTAGTGGAGTAGATTATAGTGCTCAGTAACAGCGTAACTCCATAAGGAAGGGATGAAAAATGCTACAGGGGCCAGCACTGTGGCTCAGCAAGTTAAAGCTGTGGCCTGCAGTGCTAGAGCCCCAGCTGCTCCACTTCTAACCCAGCTCCCTACAGTTGTGCCTGGGAAGGCAAGTGAGGTTGGCCCAAGCCCTTAGGCTCTTGCACTCAATGGGAGACCCAGATGAAGCTCCCAGCTTACGCCTGGCACAGCCCCAGTCTTTGCGGCCATTTGGGGAGTGAACCAGCAGATGGAAGATCTCTGTGTCTCTCCTTCTCTCTCTTACTGCCTTTCAGATAATAAATAAATAAATGAATATCCTGAAAAAAGAAAAAAAATGCTACTGAGTCAATCATTTATTCGTGTGTAAAAATTCAGAAAAAATGAACTTAGAGCATGTCGTACAGATTTCCTCTCTGTAGGACTGGTTCCAGTACTTCTCTTAAGAGGCCAGGCAGTCTTGTTGAATGAGTTAGCTAGGCTGAGATACTTGGGGGCAAATAATTACCATTGTTTATTGAAGGGTAAGAGGGCAGGAAAAGAGATGTGATGTAGATGTCCTTTAGTCGAAGTTTTTGTGTTTTATTTTTCCTTTTTTTCTTTTTCATTGCTGTATTTCTGTTCTTTAAAGGTTTGCTCTGTGATTTACTGTGGTCTGACCCAGACAAGGACGTGCAAGGCTGGGGAGAAAATGACCGTGGTGTTTCCTTCACTTTTGGCGCTGATGTAGTCAGTAAATTTCTGAATCGTCATGATTTAGACCTGATTTGTCGAGCTCATCAGGTATGAACTATAAGAGTTGTGGATAGCTTAATATTTGTTAACTTCACACAGTCCCTCTCATTTTATTTTTGAGACATCTGAATGACTTGTGTAAAGAAGGCAGTGGGAGAGACAAAGCCATTACCTAGATTGTACCATTGTAAATGCTTTGGAGCCAGCGTTGTGGCATTGTGGGTAAAGCCTCAGCCTTCAAAGCCGGCATCCCAAATGGGTGCCAGTTCAAGTTCCGGCTGCTCCACTTTTGATCCAGCTCCCTGCTAATGTCCTGGGAAAAGCTGAGGAAGATGGCCCAGGTGCTTGGGTCCCTACTACCCACATAGGAGACCTGAAAGAAGTTCCTGGCTCCTGGGATTGGCCTGCTCCCGCCCTAGCCGTTGTAACCATCTGGGGAGTGAATGAGCAGATGGAAGATCGCTCTCTGTCTCTCCCTCAGTCTGTAACTCCTTCAAATAGATAATCTTTAATTAACAAAAACAAATGCTTTGTTAACCTTTTCTCACTGTACAAGAAGAAATGTTTCAAAAGGATATATTGAATAATGTGTGCAACTCTAGAAAAATTTTTAGTGCTTTTCTGAAGCTTTCTAGACATAATCTAGATTTTTTTTTATATGATCTATAATGGGTAACAGTCCCATATTATCAGTCATTGTATGGATATTGTTTGGAGTTTGATAAAATCAAAATGCTCTTTAAGAAGGCATTTTTGAGTCCATTGGGGGATTTGACTACAGACTGCGTTGTATCGTTATCTCAGCTGTGATAAAACCATTATTATTATTTAAGAATACTTCATATTTTTCCAGAAACACTCTCTAAAACATAACTGATACACTTTTCAATCACTTTAATTTTTAAAAATAATTTTTGGCTACTTTAAAGATTATATTAGTGATTCTTTATTATTTTTAAAGCAAGATATGTTAAGTTAATCATGTTGTGTTAGAAATTACTTCCATTTTGTCTGAAGCTTTATTCCCTATGACACTTGAGTGCTGTGATCCTAACTCATAAAAATGATTGGCTTCCCACCCGCTGCACGTTAGGTACTACGTGCTTCTCTCCTGTCACGCAGTTGAAATGAAGTTACGTTCCTAAAGCCTTTACTGTTAGCAAATTTGTCTTCTAATCAGTACTTATCATGTTTATGATTTTGATAAAAGAGCAGGGTTGCTAATAAGTTACCTAACTGAAATCCCCTTGGTTAAGTTGTTTCAGCCATAGATCTCCATTCATTGGTCTTTTCAAAAATAGGTGATGATTTTAAAATGTGAAGTTACTAAAGTAACTTAGTTTATGTATGTGGACTTTTCCAGGAACTTCCAGAATTCTATGTTTACTTTATTTTTTTTTTAAATTTACTTACTTATTTGAAAGGCAGAGTTAGAGAGAGGCAGAGGCAAAGAAAAGTCTTCCATCTGCTGCTGACTACCCAGATGGCTGCAATGGCGAGAGCTGCACTCGTCCGAAGACAGGAGCCAGGAGCTTTTCCGAGTCTCCCACGCGGATGCAGGGGCCAAAAGACTTGGGCCATCTTTTACTGCTTTCCCAGGCCATAGCAGAGAGCTGGATTAAAAGTGGAGCAGCCGGACTCAAACTGGCATCCATATAGGATGCTGGCACTACAGGCCGGGGCTTTAACCCTCTATGCCACAGCACTGGCCCCTCTATTGTTTTTATTTTCAAACATGTTATCTCTAAAATTATGAGATTTAACAGTAGGAAACAACACAAACTACTAATATTTCCTTTTTAAAAAATTTAAGGGGGTCGGCGCCGCGGCTCACTAGGCTAATCCTCCGCCTAGCGGCGCCGGCACACCGGGTTCTAGTCCCGGTCGGGGCGCCGGATTCTGTCCCGGTTGCCCCTCTTCCAGGCCAGCTCTCTGCTGTGGCTAGGGAGTGCAGTGGAGGATGGCCCAGGTGCTTGGGCCCTGCACCCCATGGGAGACCAGGAAAAGCACCTGGCTCCTGGCTCCTGCCATCGGATCAGCGCGGTACGCCGGCCGCAGCGCGCTGGCCGCGGCGGCCATTGGAGGGTACACCAACGGCAAAGGAAGACCTTTCTCTCTGTCTCTCTCTCACACTGTCCACTCTGCCTGTCCAAAAAAAAAAAAAAAATTTTAAGGGGACTGGCTGCCTGTGACACTGGCATCCCATTTGCGCACTTCAAATCCAGCTCCCTACTAATGGCTAGGGAAGAGCAGCAGAAGGTGGCCCAAGTGTTCAGGCCCCTGCCACCTGTGTGGGAGACCCAGATGAAGCACCTGGGTCCTTGAGGCCATCTGAGGAATGAACCAGCGATGGAAGATCTCTCTGCTCTACCTCTCTCTGTAACTGACTTGGAAATAAATAAATCTTTAAAAAGAGTGTTTGAAAGAATGAACAAAAACTGAAAACTAGAAACCATAGATAAAGTGTTGCAGTCTTAACCAAAAAGATTAATATCTAAATTGTGCTGTGAGGTAAATTTCAACAGAGGCACATTCCCAGCAGTGAGGTATGATTTATTTTAAAAAGTAAATAATTGTAATTCTATGGAAGTATTATAGGATAATTTTGCTTATCAAAAAGGATACCTAAAATAGACTTACTTTAAGATTTATTTATTTATTTATTTGAAAGAGTTACACAGAGAAAGAGAGGCAGAGAGAACCATCCACTGGTTCACTCCCCAATTGGCCGCAATGCCAGGAGCCAGGAGCTTCTTCCAGATCTCCCACTCAGGGACAGGGGCCCAAGGACTTGGGCTGTCTTCTGCTTTCCCAGGCCCTGACAGCGGATTGGAAGAGGAGCAGCTGGAACTTCCAAGTGGCACCCATATGGGATGCAAGCACTGCCGGAAGCAGCTTTACCTGTTAATGCCATAGTGCCGCCCCTAAAATAGACTTTTTTTTTTTTTTTTTTTTTTTTTTTTTTTGACAGGCAGAGGTAGACAGTGAGAGAGAGAGACAGAGAGAAAGGTCTTCCTTTGCCGTTGGTGCACCCTCCAATGGCCGCTGCGGCCAGCGCATTGCGCTGATCTGAAGGCAGGAAGGAGCCAGGTACTTCTCCTGGTCTCCCATGGGGTGCAGGGCCCAAGCACCTGGGCCATCCTCCACTGCACTCCTGGCCACAGCAGAGAGCTGGCCTGGAAGAGGGGCAACCGGGACAGAATCCAGCTCCCCAACCAGGACTAGAACCCGATGTGCCGGCGCCACAAGGCGGAGGATTAGCCTATTGAGCCACGGTGCCGGCCAAAATAGACTTTAACAAGTAATCTTAGAGGCTGGCGCCACAGCTCACTAGGCTAATCCTCCTCCTGCGGCGCCGGCACTCCGGGTTCTAGTCCTGGTTGGGGCGCCAGGTCTGTCCTGGTTGCTTCTCTTCCAGTCCAGCTCTCTGCTGTGGCCTGGGAGGGCAGTGGAGGATGGCCCAAGTCTTTGAGCCTTGCACCTACATGGGAGACCTGGAGGAAGCACCTGGCTCCTGGCTTCGGATCGGCTCAGCGCGCTGGCTGTAGCGGCCATTTTGGGGTTGAACCAATGGAAGGAAGACCTTTCTCTCTGTCTCTCTCTTTCTGTCTAACTCTGCTTGTTAAAAAAAAAAAAAGGCAATCTTGGATGGGCCGGCGCTGTGGCTCCTTTGGTTAATCCTCCATCTGTGGTGGTGCTGCATCCTATATGGGCACCGGGTTCTAGTCCCAGTTGTTCCTCTTCCAGTCCAGCTTTCTGCTGTGGCCTGGGAAGGCAGTGGAGGATGGCCCAAGTGCTTGGGCCCTGCACTCGCATGGGAGACTGGGAGGAAGCACCTGGCTCCTGGCTTTGGATCGGTGTAGCGCCGGCCGTAGCGACCATATAGGGGGTGAACCAACGGAAGGAAGACCTTTCTCTCTGTTTCTCTCTCACTATCTGTAATTCTTCCTATCGAATAAATAAATAAAATCTTTAAGAAAAAAAAGTAATCTTGGTTTTTGTAGATAAATATAAACTGTTTACATGTTTTTGTTTACCTCTCATAAACCCAAAAGTTAGAGTCATAAGCTGAGAAATATAAGCTGTTCAAATAACTCAGGAATTGACAATAGAGTCTAGAAATTTAAAACATTAAGGAAAAAAATTACATGTGGTATAAAACTTCAGCCTATAATCATTTAACTTAAGGAGCCTGATCTGTATAAATGAAACTCAAGTTAGTAATGTTTTCAGTTTGTAGGTATATACCACTGATATGAAGTTTAAAAGCAAAGCAAGCAAAAAGTTTGTGGGGAAGTTTTTTGTGGCCTGGTTGTTACTCATTGAAGGGTTCTATAGTGGGATTATATGCTGTCATCAGAGTCCCACCTCATGTCCCAGGTCCCTGTGGTTACTGTACACATTAGGGTATTTCATTTTTGTCTCATGGGAAGCCTTGGAAATATGCTTTTTAGTAATTACAAACCTATTATTCCATTTAAGCTTAATCTCTGCCATTTTACAGAAAAGGCACACCAATTTAATGTTCTAAGCAAAGTTTAAGAATAGATATCAAAACTTCCAAAACAAAACAAGTGTTTTTTTAGGCCATTACCTATTAATCTTAATTAATATAGATAGCTGACAATTGCCTGCTAATAAATGCCGTTTTCTTTCTCCTTTGACAGGTGGTGGAAGATGGATATGAATTTTTTGCTAAGCGACAATTGGTAACCCTATTTTCAGCCCCAAATTACTGTGGCGAGTTTGATAATGCTGGTGGAATGATGAGTGTGGATGAGACTTTGATGTGTTCATTTCAGGTATGATATAGATCTAAATTTGTAACAACTAGAAATCTATTTAAAACTATTGTCAGTACAATTTTACTTTTAGGTTTATTGAAATTTTAATTAGGAAATGATTATCATTGGCACTCATTAGAGATTTCTGTTTTTCATCACAAAAATTTCTAACTTTTGGTACCCATCAAATATTTGAATTTTAGGGAACTCATCCTTGACTGAGTGTGACCTGTAAGGTAGTGACTTACCTGGGATGGGCACTGGGGAAAGAAAACAGTATAAATACAATGAAGAAAAAAAAAACAGAACATTTACCTAAATAAAAATCTTTCCAAAGAATTTTAAAGTATGCATTTACAGATAAGTGTTTTCTCTCTCCAGTGGCAGGAAGCTGGAGTCAGGAGCTGGAGCTGACGATCAGACCAGGTAGTGCAGTGTTAGGACTGAAATGTCTTGGGGCTGGCATTGTGGCATAGTGGGTAAAGCCACCACCTGCAATGCCAGCATACCATAGGGGCACTGGTTCAAGACCCTGCTGCTCCATTTCCAAACTAGCTCCCTGCTAATGCACCCTGCTGCTAAGGCAGCAGAAGATGGCCCAGTGCTTGGGCCCCTGCACTCATGTGGAAGATCTGGAAGAAGCTTCCGACATCTGGGGAGTGAACTGGTGGATAGAAGATCTGTCTCTTCCTCTCTGTGTAACTGTTTCAAATAAATCTTTTTAAAAAAAAGAGGAAGAAGGCTGGTGCTATGGCTCACTAGGCTGCTAATCCGCCTGCGGCGCTGGCACCCCAGGTTCTATTCCTGGTTAGGGCACCGGGTTCTGTCCTGGTTGCTCCTCTTCCAGTCCAGCTCTCTGCTGTGGCCCGGGAAGGCAGTGGAGGGTGGCCCAAGTGCTTGGGCCCTGCACTTGCATGGGAGACCAGGAGGAAGCACCTGGCTCCTGGCTTCGGATCGGCACAGCGCTCTGGCCGTAGCAGCCATTTGGGGGAAGAACCAACGGAAGGAAGACCTTTCTCTCTGTCTCTAACTCTGCCTGTCACAAAAAAAAAAAAAAAAGAAGAAGAAAAAGACTGGAAGGTCTTAACAATTAAGTCCAAAATAGGCAAATCTGTAGAGATATCAGGTAAGTTAGTACTTTTTAGAGTTGGAGGGGTTATGGAAAGGTAGAGAGCAGGAATGAGAAATGATTGATAACAGGAACAAAGATTGTTTTGGGGTAACAAAAATGTGCTAAATTTAAATTATGATAATTGTTTGGATGAATATATATACACTAAAAACTGTTGACTTGTACATTTTAAATAGTTGAGCTCTAAGGTTTGTAATAAAATATATCGATATTTATTTGTACACAAAAAAATAAGGCCTGAAGCGTTTGTGACATGTTGAAGGTTAATTGCCCTACTAAGTAAATATGTCAGAATTATGATGAAAACCTACATCTTTTGATTCTTAAACTGGTGTTCTTTTCCTCACCAGAGATAAATTTGGAAAAAATTTTACTGAAATTTTTATTAACTAAAATATATTAATGGGATGATAAATAATAGTGTTCACACATGTGTACTCTCTTTAAATAAGAAATGTTGGTGGAATTTTGCTGTTCTGCATTTGTGTTGTCCTTTTTCTCAATTTGTATGCCCCTTATTGAAAAAAAGACCCACCCTATCAGTTTTCTTAAGCTTGCTGCATTTGAAAGAGTAACACTGCTTATTCATTTATTATTTACTTTAAGATATTGAAACCATCTGAAAAGAAAGCTAAATACCAGTATGGTGGACTGAATTCTGGACGCCCTGTCACTCCACCTCGAACAGCTAATCCACCGAAGAAAAGGTGAAGAAGGAATTCTATAAAGAAACCACCAGATTTGTTAAGCACATACTTCATAATATATAAAAGTGTGCACTGTAAAACCATCCAGCCATTTGACACCCTTTATGATGTCACACCTTTAACTTAAGGAGACGGGTAAAGGATCTTAAATTTTTTTCTAATAGAAAGATGTGCTACACTGTATTGTAATAAGTATATTCTGTTATATTCAACAAAGTTAAATCCAAATTCAAAATTATCCATTCAGGTTACATCTTCACGTATCACAATTTTTAAAGTTGAAAAGCATCCCAGTTAAACTAGATGTGATAATTAAACCAGATGAAAGCATGATGATCCATCTGTGTAATGTGGTTTTAGTGTTGCTTGGTTGTTTAATTATTTTGGGCTTGTTTTGTTTTGTTTTGTTTGTTTTTGCTAGAATAATGGCAATATTTTTTCCCTAAACATTTTAAAAAGTGAAATATGGGAAGAGCTTTAAAGACATTCACCAACTGTTACTTTCTTTTGCTTATCTACTTATATACCTGTTTGATCTTAAGAAAATTTATTCCTCATTACATTAAAAAGGAATTTTAGAGAGTGATAGTTTTTAAAAATATGCAGACTGTCCAATTCATTGGTTTTAATCAGTTTGACTGGGCAAACTTTACAGCTGATAGTGAATATTTTGCTTTATTCAGAAATTGCCACTGATTTGGATTTGTGCACTCTAATTCTTAACTTATTAATGCTCTATTGTGCAGTAGCATTTCATTTAACTTTAAGGTAAGGCTCACATAGTATTACCCAGATAGTTGGTAATGTGATTATGTGGTACCTTGGCTTTAGGTTTTAATTCGCACGAAACACCTTTTGGCATGCTCAACTTTCTGGTAACACCCTCACCTGCATTGGTTTTGTTTCTTTTGGGATTTTTTTTGTTGTTGTTTTGTTTTGTTTTTAGATCCACAAAACATGAGAATCCTTTTTTGACAAACCTTGGAAAGCTGACACTATCCCTTTTTTCCTCCCTTTTACGAAGGATGTATTTAATTGAATGCTGGTCAGTGGGACATTTTGTCAACTATGGCTATTGGGTGCTTAACTGTCTAATATTGCCATGTGAATGTTGTATACGATTGTAAGGCTTATGTCACTAAAGATTTTTATTCTGATTTTTCGTAATCAAAGTTCATATGATACTGTATAGATATGCTTTGTAGTGAACTATAGTAGCAATAATTTCTGTATGTGATCAAGAGTTTATTGCAGCATTTCTTTTCCTGTTCTCTCTTTTTTTAAGGGTTAGCATTAACATGGCAAGGAATAGAAAAGTCACCATTAAGATTTTAGAAGGAGAACTTACAGAGCACAGATTTGTGATTGTTTGGATGTGACACTATTGGATGTGACTCTAAAAGCTTTTATTGAGCATTGTCAAATTTGTAAGCTTCATAGGGATGGACATCACATTTATAATGCCCTTCTATATGTGCTACCATAGATGTGAAATTCTTGACCTTAATATTGTCTTTGAAAATGTTAAAATGAGAATTCTGTTAACTTACAGTTTATGAATTGGCGCATTGTATTACTGCAAGAAATATTTGATTTTCAGCACAGTGCAAAGTTTCCTTAAACTGCATATGTCTTTTTTTTTCTAATTCTATTTTGTTTTAAAGCACATTTTAAATGTAGTTTTCTCATTTAGTAAAAGTTGTCTAATTGATATGAAGCCTGACTGATTATTTTATTGCTTTTTTCTTCAGAGCGACACATTTAAACATACATTTTATTCAGAATGACACTATGTTTCTGACATTGAATTGATTTCTTTTCTGAAAATATTCATGAATTGCTTTTGGTATGCTAGATTAGGACACACACACACTATCAGTTTTGACTTAAACAGCTTCTTGGTTGAAGTATAAGTTGAGCAGTTTCTAAATAGAATTTTAGATAGATTCTTCTAGAAGTCATATTGAAGCCTGTGGCGGGGAAAGGGCAGTCTTTATTAATCTCAGTATTAGTTAAACCACATTAATCTGGATTCTATTGATTTTTTGGTCAGTAGGAAATTATTTAGAAATTCATCCAGATAAAAACCACATATGGGAGGGTCTGTACCTGCAGTGTTGGCATTCCATGTGGGCGCCTGTTCGAATCCCAGCTGCTCCACTTCCAATCCAGCTTTCTGCTATGGCCTGGGAAAGCAGTAGAAGATGGCCCAAGTCCTTGGGCCCCTGCACCCACATGGGAGACTGGGAAGAAGCTCCTGGCTCCTGGCTTCGGATCAGTGCAACTCCAGCCATTGGCGGCCACCTGGGGAGTGAACCATTGGATAGAAGACCTCTCTCTGCCTCTGCCTCTCTATAACCCTGCCTTTCAAATAAATAAATAAATCTTTAAAAAAATCAAATGTGGAATAAGTCACTAATTAGGCAAATTAATATTAATCATTAAAGAATGAAAATTTACCATATTTTTAAATTATGTAGTAACTCTTTAAACCATTTTAACTGCTTATAGTCATATGTAGGTAATGTGTTCACTAAATTTGTATTTATTGCTGCTAACATTGTTTCTTCTTTGCCCAACAGCAGCCTTTTTTTTTTTTTTTTTTTTTTTTTTAATGAGAGGCAGAGAGAGAAGAGCTCCCATCTGTTAGTTCACTCCTCAGATGTCTGCAGCTTCCGGGACTAAGCCAAGGCTAAGCTGGGAACCAGATCGCCTATGTGACTGTAGGGATCCAATAGCTGGAGCCCCACTGTCTCCCTGGTCTGCACTGGCAGCTAAGCTGGAATAGGGCAGTCAAACCCAGGCACTGTGTTGCAGGATGTGCATGTCTGAACTGCTAGCCTGAATGTACCCCCAAGGACCAGTTGTGATCATTAGCACAGGACTGGTTTGTACGTAGCACCTAATAAGGACTCTGTAGCCACATTCTCATCTCCCTTCACTCTGAAGAGAACCTAAATGTTCCTGAAGATAGTTATTTTAACTGGAAAATGCCAGCAAGAAGAATCTTAACATAGGTAGAATGCAGCCATCCTTTGTACATGAAAATAGTCTTGTTACAGTTAGAATAACAGAAATGTGGAGATAGCATAAAAAAATTTTAAAAAGCCTAATTTGATACTGTGAATTCCATATTGAGACCAGACAGGTCCATTGAGGTGGTGATAAAGTGTTGTCAGAGCCCAAGGTTTTTGTTGATTTTGAGACGCTTGACTAGAAGGGAGGAATTGTTAAATTAAACTTGGTCTCAGGCTCCCTCCACACTTAACAGACTAGAGCTTGAGTGCGTGTTCAGATGGTGCCTGCCATACAGTGGTTCCACTTAGAATTTCTCAGCTTTTCAATGGTGCCAAAACTGTGTATTCAGTGAAAACCACACACCAGATTTTGAATTTGACTCTTTTCGCCAGCTAGCACAATGCAGTCCAATACAGGCATGTTGCTAGGCAGCAGTCAGCTGGTCGTGAGGGAAACTGCTGAGACTGTGCTGAACCATGTCACTCAGCCAGGGTGTGCATTAGGTGTATTTCAGTGCATTTTCGGCTTGTGATGTTTTCACCTTTTGAGTGGGGTTGCTGGAGGATGGGACCCCACGGCAAGTTGAGGAGTATCCATTTTTCAGACAAGCAGCTGAATCTCAGACAGATTTGCAGCAGAGCTTTCAGCCAGTCCCAGCTGCAGACAGCCAGAACTTGTTCATATAAGGTCAACGGCGAACTGATCAGGCTGTCTCCATTTGTCAGTCCTTTTTTCTGTCTATAAATCCTGCCTGATCACCTTTATTGGTTCAGGGTGCTGCCTGATGCATGAAGCATTACTTTGCCCAGATAAAATCAGCTGATATATTTTTTTTTAAAGTAGATAATTTGAAGTAGAAATATGATCAGAGGAAATAAGCCCTTCAAAAAAAGAATTTTATCCAAGCAAAACTATAAACATCGTAAGAGACATGTGTCTCTTGAGACTATCAAAGTATATTACATTGAATCAAGGAAATGAAATATGTCTGGGTTTAAAAGTTCAGGTATGTTCCATTATCTTCATAGCAACCATAATTTTTGACATCTTTATGCTAAAATGTGTTTAGAAAAGTAATATGATTAGATGGAAATTGCTTTTGATAGCCAACCTAATGCACCTTTTCTTTTCTTTGTGAGTCAAGTGTGCACCTGAGAAGACATTGAATATAAATAAATAAGCCTGTCTAGTGGCATCCACTTAGAAACAGGTTGCCCGTTTTGCCTGTAGATCTCAATGTTTTGTACCTTTTTAAAACAGCTAAAAAGTTAAAGGAATTTTAAAAATAGCATACCTTGCAAAATGAACAGTTACTAGTTAAATGAGAAATAAATTGGTTCCATGTAAGTATACACTAGAGTATTACCTTTATCCTGTTTATAAAGTTTCTTCAACAGAAGCTAAACTTAAAAATGGAGCAACAATTTTAGTCTGTTGGAAGAAACTGGCTCCTGGCTTCAGATCAGCACACCTCTGGCCATTGCAGCCAATTGGAGAGTGAACCAATGGAAGGAAGACCTTTCTCTCTGTCTCTCTCTCACTGTCTGTAACTCTACCTGTCAAATAAATCTTTAAAAAAAAAAAAAAAAAAGTTGTAGAAACACAAAACTGATTGCTAGGATAATTGCCTTAGGTTTTGTAGCCCTTTTCTAATGGAGACCTAGTAACCCCACTGAAGTTAATTCAGTCAAAGGATAATCTTTCCTGTTACTCTACTGTAAAGCCTATTTGGTGAGAGTCCCTGATCTCTTAGCAGGTGACTTCCCTAAACTCAGTGTGCTCACTGGCAAATTAACGCAAATTGTAATCCATTCCTTTTTTTTTTGTTTTTTTTTTTGTTGTTGTTGTTTTTTTTTTTTTTTTTTGTTTTGAAAGACTTACTAAGGCAGAGTGACAGGTAAAGACATCTCTTAGATCTGCTGCTTCACTCCTCGAATGCCTACAGTGCCTGGGGCTGGTTCAGGCCGGAGCCAGGATCCAGGAACCCATCTGCTTCTCCCATGTGAGTGATGGGCCCCCCAGGTGCTTGGGATCATCTGCTGCTACTTTCCCAGGCACCTTAGCAGCAAACTGGATAGGAGACAGAGTGCTCTGATACGGCCCTATCCATTGCGCTTTTTTTTTTTTTTTTTTTTTTTTTTTTTGACAGGCAGAGTGGACAGTGAGAGAGAGAGACAGAGAGAAAGGTCTTCCTTTTGCAGTTGGTTCACCCTCCAATGGCCGCCGCGGCTGGTGCTCTGCGGCCTGCGCACCGCGCTGATCCAATGGCAGGAGCCAGGTGCTTCTCCTGGTCTCCCATGGGGTGCAGGGCCCAAGCACT